ACATTGACCATTTGAGTCAATGGAGCATCTGTAGTGATTTTTTTTAATATGACAACATATATGACAATATTCAGCATATATAACGATATTCGATATGAATGTACAATTATAAAAATAATATAAATATATGCTAAAGCTTTCACACAAATCAACTTGCTTTAAATTTCATTATTAACTAAACTGAGCTTTGAACTAATGAATAGGCGTTATGTGATGTACAGTTGCGACACGTTTTTGTTGTTTTGTTATACTGACAAAGAGTAATTGTGATTATTTATATATTTCTGCATTTATATACGTGTATTTTGTATTTATTATTACATATGCATTTTTATATTTATGTATGTACAATCTGCATCATCTCTGATGATACTTACTTGGGTAATATGCCCACTTATTAATTCTTACTTTTACTTCTAGGCTACAAGTAACAGAAGGTATACCACCTCAACAATCCTCACCTCATGATGAAAGGTTAAAGGGCCACTTCACCCACAAGCACCCTGGCCAATTGACACTACTGCGACTCCACTGTGGGTCAAGAAGGTTAGTCAGCATTGCGCACCACCACCTGTACTTTCTAGACAAACTAGTACTCATCTATCTGAAGCTGTGTGGACATCAAACTAACATCGACACTGAACCCCAGTCCTTCATTGTGACAGTTCAGTACCTAACCCAATGAGCCATTGCGGCTCCACAAGTGTAAAAAGGAGTACTGAATTTGATGAAATAATTTACAAACGCAACAATCATTAATATTTATTTCATAATCGTCGTTGTGACTGAGGGGTTAGAGCCCTCAGTCACAACGACGGTATACCCGGGTTCGATACCCAGCAATGGCTGGTAGACACGAATTCCGCACTCGACTCGCACCGCTGATGTAAAAATAGCCTCAGTGGTAAACTGGTAAACGGATCATGGATTAGAGTCCCATTGCAGTCAGGCTAACCGTGAAGATTTTTTGTGGTTTCCTTCTCTGTGTAACGGAAATGCGGATTAGGTCCATCAAAATATCCTCAATGCATTAAAATTTCCTCCAAAACATGATTTCCATTCTCTTCTGGATTGGGTTCAAAATTACGGAGTTGAACACTGAACTCGAAATCGGGTCGGTTGTTCAATGGTGGTTATAAAATATATATATTTATTTCATATTTGTGATTCAGATATTTGTAAAATATTAGCCTATTTTCCCTATTCCGTATAATTAAGTTTAATTTAAACAGAAGATTTTTGCATACAAAGTGTATAATATATAACATTTCTAGCATAAAAAATCTATCAAGCATTGAAAAAAATTGTTTTTATTAATAAATACAACATATGTTTACAATTGTCTTAGAATTAAATTTTACATAATAGTATCTTATATAGCAGTTTCATCAACCGAAGCTCTCGATACTGAATCTAATTTGGATCAGCGCTGTTTGCACCATTCAAGTAAATTTTCAAACAGCAATGCTTAATATCAAGTTTGAAATACGATGACACACAAATACAAATTTATTAGAAGAAATGTGAACATTTAACAAGTACGTAGGTATTTAAGACTGATTGGTGTGAGAACGCGAAAGCCAGATTTCGGCTAGTTTCTTAATGTTTTCATACACTAATCTTTAGTACCATAATTAGCTGTAATTTACTTTTATTATCTTTACTAAGTTTATTATTGAATTGAACTTAGTGTTTTTAAGGCAGAAGTTCCAAAAAAAGACAGAAGGTCTAGAGAGGAAAATAAATAATTTTAAGAAAAAAATCAAATTGCGAAATAGGTACTACATAGAGCTTCTCAGAATTCTTTCGGAAATTAATTCTTTTCATATTGAATGAAAATTTAATATGTTGCAGCTCATAACATTCTGATCAAATGTTCTCATTTGGTATCAAAATCCAAAAATTGATAGTTTTCGAGTAACGAAGCCTCAAACATGGATAGTAATTATCAATTCTTCAATACTGTCATGATATTCGCATTAATCTATGAGCTTCACATGGAGGTTGTCGAATTGAATTTTGCATAATTTATTTTTAAAAATTTCGTGATTTTACAGTTTATTTAGAATATATCTGTACTCATAGCAAAGCTAACGTTTAAGTATTTCCAAGGCCACGACATCCTGTTTGCATCATTCTATAATGATTTTGCCAAACAACGCTTTTTATCTCTGAATTTGGCGACTCTTTCAGAAAATATACTAAACCCTATGGCAAATTAAGAAAAACCCATTACCCCTATAGAGAGAGCCTGTTAGCAATAGCCTGTTAGATTCTACAAATTCGGATACTTTTAATACGATGTTATTATGACATGCGAATTTCGAAGTAGAGTTATCACTTCCTCCTTAATCCTCATCGTTTTCTGATTACTTACTTAAAACTTAATTTTCGTTTTATCGGTGATTTCTATTTGATTTTTTTTAACTACGGTATTTGTAATACGAAGTTCAAATTTGAGTAATAACGTTTTGATGAGCATGATTCACGGCTATTCCGTCGATTATCCACGTTGTTTTCGCTAATTTTTGTTTTCTTACATCATTTTTTACATGGTCACCCAATTTCCGATGTTTTTAGAGCGATTTTTTATTAGACACGAGAATTTAAAATTCGAGTACTAATTTTTTGACGTACTCAATTCACGATAACTCCGTCTTAAATTCACCTCGTTTTTCGGGAGATATTTAAATATTTTTCGGCTGTTTCGATATGATTTTTGAAATTGCATTAATGTGATATTTCAACACCCGAATTTCGAATTTAATAGATGCCTTTTGACCCACTTTATTCGCGATTGTTCAGTCGTCGTCCCCTACGTCCTTTTCTGACCATTTTCTTGGTAGTCATTTTTCGTTTTTGCTATATTTTTCGCATGATTTTTCAAATAACAATACTTTTAATAAATAAATACGACACGTGAATTTCAAATTTGAGTAATCACTTTTTAATGTGATCAATTCGCGACTATGCCGTCGTAAATCAACGTCATTTTTTTAATTGTCTTCTCCGCACTTATTACAGTTTTTTTTTATTTCCAGTTCAGAAATTTCCCCATCGTTTTTGAAATCTCGATATTTTAAATGCAGTATTATTTCAGTCGACATATTCGGAATCACGCATTGGAGTATTTAAACTTTATACGAGCCCTAGGGAGCTAAGGCTCCTGCTCGCTGCTGCTAACCAACCACGATTATTGCTTCTCAATAATTGTCCTTTCTTGGCAGAAAACAATTTTTCTACTAAAGTTAAGATTATTCACTTAACATATACGTACTAAAAGAGTACTTTATTGATTACGTTTGTGCCTCCCCTACCCACATTGAAATATTATTATTTATTAGTATTATAAATATTTAGATCTATTTGTGAACAGAAATTATTTGTCTAAGTGATCATTTTTTAAAATATCATTTATATTATCGTAACCTTATATTTTTTTTATGTTTTATATCCGTTCATGAACAGCCGACCCAATTTTTGGATTTACGACTACTAATGTTCAACTCCGTAGCCTTGTAGTTTTGAACCAATCCGGAAAACAAGGAAATTCTTGGATCAGTACCCCCAGTGGTATTGAGGACTTTGCGACTCGACAGATTTAACGTGCATCAGTCAACATTTACTACACGGGGAGTCTTCGGCCGGCGGGTATCGAACCCACGAACTGTAACATTATAGTGTTCAAACAAATTTGAAGAGTTCACAATCGCAACTTAATATTTTCTCATTGTGCATTAAGCTGATGGTTAAGTTATAAATCATTTAACCGATCTCTTTAACTGTAATTTATAACACTATATTAAGGTTATTTTCACGAAAATAATAATCGTAAGATGGTTAATAAAATTAGACCACCTTCCTAAGTAACTTAATCTTAAAATGTAGAGCAGAATTACATTATAACAATAATGAAAAGAAACAGCAATTCTCTTAATTTTCAATTCCTGAATTTAAAGCGAAATAATTGCAGTACAAAAAAAAAAAAAACTTTAAAATAGGAATACAAAAATATTTATAGAAAAATAATACCTTTATTAATTTTATGATGATGACAATCAAAATAATATGGAAATGAATGAGGAAAAACTGGATCCTACCACGTGATTTTCCGGCCAATAAAAATGCACGGACAACAATGGTAAACTGCTACACCATCACTAGATTTTTTTGTATAGTAAGATAAATATCTAAAATTTACCATTCACGGTGATCATATAATTGCAATAAGTCACGCAACAATTAATACGTTGAATTTTCTGCATCCCAGAATGTATTTCCATAATGCTTAAAAAAATACTTCTATAAATCGTAAATTTGCTGAATTTTTTTAGCACTAGCAAGTATTTCTACTGATTTCGAAAAACGGAAATCATACCCTGTTTGTAGAGGTACATAACATATTGTACGATGTACAATTCTTAAAGGTGCTTAATAAAATGCTTAGATAGACGTAGTTAGTGAATAAAATATATTTTTAATAAATATTCCTCAGATTTTACTTACGTACAATATTAATAATTCTTTAAAAATGTTTTATTTCGAACACAGAACGTATAATACAGTTGGAAGAACACTTCCTACATTTTATCTGTTAGAGTTACAGTGATGCTATACACGTACACATTTACTACAATAGAAGAATATTAAATTGCCTTTTTTAAAATAATATTTGATGCGAAATTAAAGCAAATAACATGATATGTAATTATTTTAACACCAGAAAATTTGTTTTTCTTAAATTAATGAAAATCTTTAAAAGCATAATTAAAAATAGTTGCAAAACATTTTTTGAAACTGCAAATAATAATTAGCAAAAATGATTACATTTTGACAGAATTAATTTTTAAATCTGATAAAATATTATTCTCAATAACGTTTAAGAGAAACACAAATCAGGCGATTCCACGATTTTGTGAGGCTGGAAATGTATCAATAAATTTGTCAAAAGAATACTTTGCAACAATGCATTTGTGATATAAATATATTGATACAAAATGTCAATATATAACAACAATTTTATTTATATTCACAAAATACCACCATAAAAATATAATTTTGAATTGTTCCTCTTCTGTGGTATCAACTGATAGTAAAAAAAAAACTCAAAACATCCATAGTTAAAAATAAATAATTTTTAAACAAAACTGTATGTTATAAAAAGAAGCATTCACATATATTTAATGATTTGATTTGCTCATGTTATGATAAACAAATGCCCAGCTAAAACAATATCAGAAAGTTTGAAAACAAACTGTAACTGCAAAGTTATAACTTTTTATGACCAATTACAATTTTCTCAAAGAAAAGGATGAAATTTCTATTGAATAAAGTATAATTAGTAATTTATTAGTCAACAAATAGATTTGAAATAGTGCTAAAGAAAAAGAAAATTGTGTGCATACTTACTTAAATGTATATGAAAAACTTTTTCACACTATTTTCTTAAATATGTATAGTCATTAGAAGAAAAAATACACAGATATTTTTGACTACAAGTCTATTCATCTTTGACTAAAATATCGCCAGCGACATCAAAATGCACCACACATTGTACAGTGAATTAAATTAAGTTCAAGCTCTCGCCAAAGATCAGTTTCAACTGTTCGACTGTCTGCCTAACTAGAGAACTTCTCCTACCACTAAATCTGAGATGACCTACTGCTATGAAAGTAAAAATAAATAAATAATAAAAAAAAGCATTTTAAAAAGGGGAGTTCTTGATATCTCTCCCGCAAACTCAAGTCAAAAGGTATACTAAATGTTACCCGAAACCCTAACCGAAATAATTCAAAGCTGTAATTTTAAATTATATGAACCATCTTTTCGTAAAGAATTATCTGGGTTTTAGAATGAGCAAATATTTTAAAAATAACTTAAGTAATGTAATCAAGTTATTTAGATAATTGAAATCAATATCTTAAGTAATTTAAAAGTTATTAAATGTTTCTGAAAATCGCCAATTTGGCGAGATTTTTCACTTAAATAGGAAAAAATCATCAAAATCAATTATAATTTCTCTACTTTTACCATAGGTTCCCAGATAAAGCAGTCTCGAAGTAATATTTTATGTATTAAAAATTTATGTCAAAAACGCTTTTCATTCTCACAGAACTGTGGCTTTTGTACATATCGACATTTTGCAACATTTTCCAAATCAGTTTAGCGGGAATTGACTTAAGATAAGATAAGCTTGGTCTAACAGTTCTGAATAACTGTTGCAAACCCACAGCAGAAATGAAAAATAGCATTATAAAGTTTCATTTCATGTGATGGCTAGCCTTCGAAAAGCAGTCTTAATCGAAATAATTTAATACACGGCCACTAGCCGTGCTCTAGACAACTGGCGAGAAAAGTTCTTTAGTTAGACAGTTAATACTGTTTTGAGTTTCTTTTCGAAGCACCTGATAAAAAAACATCAGACCAAAGCACCGTCTGTCTCTTGATTCTCCACTTCAGCCTTGATATCTTCAGGTGGTGCAGATGTTTGGTAGGTTCTTTCCCTGTGGTCCATGCGCACCACAACTTGGTGCTTGGGTGGTTCATTTGGTTCACCATTCCCCAAAGCTCCTGCTCTGTTTCTCCGAAATCGATGAATGTTTGTTCCAACCAGTATTAGGATTATGGCGGCATAGAAAACAACTACGACCTAGAAAGAAAAATTATTTCAAAATTTCAAACTTTCATAGTTTTTCTTAAACCTAATTTCCAGGAAACAAATTTTCTTTTTTAATAATAACATTAAGATTAACTAAGCATAAAACATTAAATCATCCCCACAAAATAATTCAATAAAAATATTACATATGTAATATTTAATGTTCTATTAAAATATATATTATCATCAAATGTAATCATTTTCAACTTTAACTTTGTTAACAGCTGAGTTAAAGTTTTAGGTTTAGCTGCTTTAAATAAACATTTAACAGATATTTATTATTAAAAAAAATTACTTATTATGTTTCTAAAGAAAAGCTCTACTTATAAAATACAAATGACAGACATAGAAATTTCATAGATTTGAAACTGATTTTTTGTTTGTAAAACAAACAGAAACTGAACAAATCAATTCTTAACTGGAATTCAACAAAAGATTTTTAAACTTTGCAAGCAATCGATATAATCGATATAAAAAACGCTGAATAATAATTATTCTTAAAACTATGCAAACGATAGTTTTCAACTGCAATACTTCGGCAATGTGAGGAAACATTGTTACTACAATACTACATTCTTCTCTGCCAATGTGAGAAAATTATGCTGTGATTAAAAATCGAGAATTCGAAATCAAGTATTTGAAAAATCGATGAATGCAAGATAGTTAGGGACATTAGTGTCAGTTTCGAACGTATAAAATGAATTAGTGTGTCACCATAAAGGATATTATGGCGTCGTTATCGATACTAAACAGAAAGATATCCTATTACTCTACATTTATGAAAAATGAAAACAAATTGTACAGTACTCAGTTTAGTAAGCATGAACACAAAGGATAAAAATAACTTTGTTTCTTTCTCTCAAAAATATACCAAATCTTTTTTTTTTTAAATATTTATGATAATTAGATTTTTGTTTTGACTCTAAATATAAAAAAAGAGTATTCAATGCGAATGCACAAAGAAAATGGCGAAGTTTTAGCATAACTTACTCATTCCAGTTGCGCGGAAATAGAAAAAGCAATAACGTACTGTGGATTTCGCTAAGACAAGTAAAGCAGTTGTATTAGTCTTCTATCATTGGGTTAATTTAAGGCTCCTGTACTATGAGAGCTGATGCATCCACGATGTTGGAACTGACAAGTTCGCAAGTTACGCAATGTTAGTATTAACGTGAGAGTTTTCATATCAAAAATTATTAATATGGATGGTTGTGCAGCTGTAAATTCTACAAGCAGTTCAGAAAAAGGGATTTTGAATGTTCAAATTTCCTTCAAATTTGAAAATAAAGAAGAAATGGATAATAAATTGCAGAAGATATAACTGGCAGCCTGGAAGTGGAGCTCGCTTATGTGTGGTAAATACTCATCTTATTATATAAAACGCTAATACGTACGTATGTATCGATAAAACNGTAATTTCTCTGAAGCTTGTTGCATTAGTTAATCATTGTTGTTTATGGTATCTTAAAAATTTTCGAATGTTGATGATTACTTTTATCAGATTTCAAACAAAAGTTTTTTTTAAAACCATTCTTAAGTTTTTTTTTATTGTTGTTAAATTTAATATTTTGTTTTGTTACATTATCTGTTTTGCTTTTATTACATTTTTTAAAAATTTTCTTTGCTATTCGCTTACACATTGAATTCATCATGAAGCGATCTTATCCGTCTGGTTGTGCTAAAAAAAATTAAAGGCGAAAAAAAATGCTGAATTAAAACGCATTAAAGGATCAATGGATTTCTATACTGTTAAAACTCAAACTGCTGATGCAAATGCTGAAAAACTGAATGACTGTTCTGACTCTGCACCAATTTTGTTAGCTGATGCTGAGATTGTATCACACAATAACCTTATTTCAGAAAATTTAGAGACCAACTCTAATGATTTAGCTACAAATTTACAAAATGCCCCCCTTTCTAATAATGCTGAAATACTAAATGAGTGAAATATTAAAAGGTCAAGTACTTGCTCTAATAGAACTACAGTTTCTCTTTCTTTTATAGTACCTTCATTTCATGGAAAATCAATGATGAAAGGAAAATAAAAATAGGTAATCGGTAAAGAAAAATAGGTAATCGGTACAAATATCTTGTTTCCTTCATAATTTTTAACATTCTAACCAAAACCTCTAGATATGTTTATTAAATTTTTGCACCAATTTTGTTAGCTGATGCTAAATTTAGTATTTAGCTGATTATATATATTTCTTTTCACAATTTCACTAAATTAAATTCTGAATATCTGGGGGACGTACTTCTAAATAAGGTTTCAGCTTACTTGCAATTTTTATGGTCTGAAAAATACTTTTTCAATATTAAGTTTAAGACCTTGCATGTTAACTAAAATTTATCGGCTCTTTAACTGGGGCCCCCAAATTCATCTGTGCCCGGGGCCCCCAAATCTGTAAGTCGGTCCCTGTAACTTAGTCATTGCAGTTGCGCGGAAATAGAACAAGCAATAACGTACTGTGGATTTCGCTAAAACAAGTAAAGCAGTTGTATTAGTCTTCTATCATTGGGTTAATTTAAGGCTTCTAAACTATGAGAGCTGAAGTATCCACGATGTTGGAACTGACAAGTTCGCAAGTTACGCAATGTTAGTATTAGCGTAAGAGTTTTTATACCAAAAATTATTAATATGGATGGTTGTGCAGCTGTAAATTGTACAAGCAGTTCAGAAAAAGGGATTTTGAATGTTCAAATTTCCTTCAAATTTGAAAATAAAGAAGAAATGGATAATAAATTACAGAAGATATAACTGACAGCATGGAAGTGGAGTTATGTGTGGTAAATACTCATTTATTTATAACTTCTTAGATTTATTTACTTATATATGTAGTATATAAACGATATTAAGTTGTTAGAATTTGGTTTTTGAATGCTTGTTTTCGTCCGTTTTTTTTTTGTTTTTTTTTTAACAAGTGAATAACTTTCAAGGTTACCTGAATTGTACAGCTTTTAACTAAGTACCAAATATAGGAATTTTCATTGAAAATTGCATTTATTAAGTATATATTTATTTAAAATATGACTTTTAAACAATATTTATTGATTTATTTAACAATTTTTAAGTGTTTATGTGCAAAAAAACAATAAATAAAGGTAAGATATTGGCTAAATAAGTATTCGCCCAACTTATTTCAAAATCGCCAAGTTTTGTGTCCACTTTTAAGTATTTCTTTCTGTTGAAAACAAATATTTATCTGTTTTTTATTATATTCCTTTGTATGCCTCCAATCCCTTATTTATTTAAAAATACAGTGAGACCTGTTTTTGTGCGGTCCTTTTTTATGCGATTCTGTTTTTGTGCGNAACAAGGCTGTGATGACTTTCTTTTCTTACCGTTTCTGGTAGGTATTTTTCAACTATGTCATCTTTACCATATTTCTTCAAAAACCATAAAAACATAGTAAAAAGACTACTTGATTAAAAAATCATTCTCTTCAAAAATAGACAAATTATAAATAACTGTCAACATGTTTCAAGCATTCACAAGCAAGCACCCATTTCCAAAACTTGACAGACGTGAATGAGAAGACCCGTTGTGAGCCTGGATGTTCTTAGAAGGTCAAGACTAGAATTTCATGACAAAAGGCATGATGGCAGGGATGTAGATAAAATTGCGTATCAATCGCCTTAATTTATCAGTTAGTTTAATTATTTATTAATTGTTTTATTATTTCATTGATATTGATAAAACATTTTTGCGGCAAGCACCTTGTTTTACAGGGTTACATGATGTCTTAAACTAATGCAAGTAAAAAAGGTCCCGGTAAAAAGGTTGTTCCAGACGCAACTGCGTGAACGCAGACGCAGTGATTATTTATTATATTATTTATTTTATATATTTCTTACATTATTCTTTTGTTGGCAACATGTATATATTCTTTGTGTACTTTTGTGATAGTAAAAGAGTTTTGTTCTATGAGATACTTGTTTTAGTGTTGATTGTAATTAGAAACATTTACGTTTACAACCAACACAAAGGTACCCCTATTGGGAAAAATATTTAAATGAGATCCTTTTTGCTGTCTTATACTAACTCGAATTCAACAATAATTACACAAATTGTAATAATAAAAAGGATTTTATTTCATTGTGGTTCAGTGGTTAAATCCAAACTGAAACTTAAGAAGTGCAGAAAAAAAATAATAAAAAAATTGTTTGTGCTCAGCGCCATCTGTTATTATAAATCCTCAACATATACAAAGTCGAGTTTCGGGTGATGCACTAACTCTGTGTGTAATTTTTTATTTCAATTTTATATCTCCCATTTATGACATTTATTCATTCCAAATTTATTATTGAATGTGAAAAATATTAATAAAAAATCCATTTTCAAATTAATGGAATTTAAATATTAAATTTTATTATTAACATTCATCTTAATATTTGAAAAATATGTATGTATTTAATAAAAAAAAACGTTTTAAACAATCCCTCTCGTAATAAACAAAATATTAAAAAAAAAGTACTAACAATTCGAAAGTTCCCTTCCCTTACCTCAATCAGCTAATCTAAATATCAGCTCCCTATACAAAACATGCCTTCAATTAAAACATAAATAAATAAATAAACTTTACTCTTAAAAAAGAAAGAAAAGAAATACATCCCACTAAAAGTCTATTTCCCTACAAATTTTTACTTTACAAATTTTTACCCTACAATTTTTACTACCTTTTTTAGCGGAATTTTTTTTTGCAAGGAACCTTTTTATCGGTACTTTTTCTTCTGGACCCTTTAATCCGGGACCTTCTTCCTATCTACCCCTAAATCTAGGCTAAAATTAATGTCACTAGGTTAAAATTGAAGTAATTCAATTAAAATCAATACAAATAGGTTGGCATTAAAGTACGAGTAACTCGGATATAAACGAATTAAATAACTAGAGCAACTAGTTTTAAATCGGAAGTGCGAAATATTGACTAATATTTATTCACATTTCGTTGAAACAAAAAGAAAAATTATGTTTCTGTTCATTCGAATACTTTTATGTCTCAATTGAATCTATTTAAAGATGTTGGTGCATTTATAATGCATTTAGAGTTTCCCACAAGTACCTTTTTTTTGTAAGTATTAAAAAAAGTCCTCTCAAAAGTTGACAAGCTCGTTATTAATTTGATATCAAATGGAAAATATCTACCCATTAAAAGTACATAGCGAGAGATAAAATTGTTTCTTATTTAAAAGAAAAACAAACCTATTCCTAAGAAATAAAGACTGTTGCCACCTGTCGTAGAGTATTTTTCGTTTTATATGTTACAACTTATTGCATTTTCCGGGAAAGGGAACGTTATTTACCCTTTGAAGAAGTGACGGATGTAATATGAGAGACTTACTGTTACGTAGATAACAGCATCTGTTGACTGTTCTGGAAAAATAATCTTAACTGTTTGATGATGAGTCTTCTCTCGAACAGCCTTGAGGGCGCTCGGAACGAGGGTCCCATTGCAGAGGCCGCCCAGCATTAACCTAAAACACAAAATGAGGAGAACGTTGAAAAAGAAAATTAACATTCTTAAAAACAAGTAAAGATATGAGGGAACAAAAAATTGCATAAAATGCTTTTTTTCTTAAATGTAATATAATTTTTTTAAGGGTTCAAAGCAAGAATAAACATTAGTACACTCGGTTAGTTAAAGTTTAATAGCACTTGAACCAGAAATGGTTATGGAACACTGTTAGAAATTTCTGAGAACAAAAGGATAAATAACAATTCGTTTAATTGTTAGTTGATCATACTCCAACAAAACAGTCCAATCGGCATAAATAAGACGGTATTCAAACTGTTAACTGTCAGTTTCACCTAATACGGTCGAACAACCTGAATTTTATCGCACCAACTAGGTCCACCTAATGATTCCAATTAGCTCCTTGCGACTGGCTATATATTATAGCCAAGCGAGCTAATCTGTCAATCTCGTGACAGACAGAACAGGGGTTTGAGTCCCAACGTTGACACCACGATATTTCCTCCATTCCCTTCAACAGAGTTTTCACTTCAGAATTCGTAACCCCGGACTATTAGAATACGATACTCTCATTCACTCATAGATGGCAGCACCATAAAGCTGCTTAACTTAAAAAAAGTGTAGCATTTCTCATCTCTTACCATACTTAAAACAACCAAACAAACTAATTAAACCACATTCCACGGTTCATTTGAAAAGACTCAACCACTACCTTACTCCAAAATACTCACCAAATACTCACCACTTACTCAATAACTCACCAAATGCTGAACTCCAATGACCGGTTAAATTTCTTTTTTACGGTTTTAAAATAATTCTAATTATAAATGGTTAAAAAGGTAAAAAATGCTCTTTACCGTAAACTTTACGGTAAATTGGATGAACAGACTGCTGCTTTAGAACAGTCGATATTTTTTTATCTTACTTAGCAAATTTACGTTGCCAAAAGAAAAAAAAAACACCCAGTGTTGGATGACCGAAGTGTGGCCATTTTTATTCGCGCTTGTGAACTATTTTTAAGACCTGAACAGAAGTGAAAAGATTAATTGTATCGATGGAGCAAAGTTTGAGGATTTTAATTTAGGGTAAATTTTTCTGCCCTAAATTTAAATTAATTTTAAGTAGTACGAATTTCTTTCCCTCTTTTTATAAATGTATATTATCGTCTCCTAGTAATAAATTTCTATATAATAAATTTCTCCTTTATTATGTCGTCGTCTATCATAAATTTCTCCTTATACAAAATTATAAAATTTACTCACATGTTGTTTTAATTTTATTAAGTGTCAACACGGTAAAAAAAAATCATTCAGCATCATTTAATGAGAGGTCGAAACCAGGTCTTATTTATTATACATAAAACTAACCTTAAATCTGAAATTCTGCAATAAAAAAAAGATGAAAAGTTAGCCTCCATAATAACACCTAATCACAGCGAAATTTCACTCATAAAAATTCCATTCTTAAAAAACAATTTTAATTCTATCACTTTTCTTGTTAAAAATTTTGATTTTATCTTAATTTCATTTTCTAAAGACGATCCCGTGAGATGCGCGTAAAGATATCTTACGTTAAAATTCCATTTAATTTAATCTTGCTTTTTATTTATATTTCATTTTTTCTGAACTGAAGATTTATGGATGTCCTTTACTTATTTTCATGAAAAAAAAGATTTATTGTTATTTTTTTTACCCATTTCATACAAAGATTTATTTTAGAAAATTGTTAGAGCAAAAAATTCTTTTTAAGACCTGTATTTCACTTAAATTTCATGACTTCATTTTTTTCATCATTTCATGTTACATTTCAAGAAATTAAAACCTTTCATAAGAGAAGAAAAAAAGTTAACTTTAGAGTCAAAATCTTATTTATTGATTTTTCTCTGTCTACGAAACATAGACAATTTCTTTTAGATATTTATTATTTCTTAGGGGAAACTGCTTTTCTAAAATGTTCTACTCAATAAACGTTGTCCATCAATCTTGAAAAAAAGGGCTATAAAATGGGCAATATTAAATCAATTTTCAACTCAAATATTTTACTTATTTTGCGTTTTAAAAATTGAATTGGATACTCGCACTTCAAAAAGACAATCACAGATTACCCACACATGTGATTTATGAAGTCAGCACCAGCTGATCGGTGGTAAGCAAAATGGCGTGTTAAAGTTAAGCAGTTTCTCCACATAAGTTAGAATGTTAATTAACGTGAAGTTAATGAAACACATCGTCTTAGCGCACATCGATTTCGATGAAATATAATTCTTTCTCAACGAAGTTTTTTACTTAACTTACATTTATTATTTGTTTGTGTATTTTATTGTAACCGTGTTATATTTTTGTTTTGTGTACCTGGTACCTTCGATGTATAATTAGTTTGTTTATATTCTACGTGGCTTCGTGCCTGCCTTTTTGTGAAGTACGTGGGGAAAGAGTTGAAATATTTGTGATCGAATTATTTAGAAGGAATATAGAGCGTTGTCAGTTAAGAGTATGGATACTTGACGGGCTCGGTTAATTCGAAATAGAAAGGAACGAACAGTTGCTAACATAAATAAAGATCATTTTTCAACAACCAATCAGGATCGAGATACCCACACTACGTCACTTGCAAGTATCACGCTGTTCAATAAAACACATGTTCAAAAAAGCTGCCCAGAAGAAACTGCTTGTAGATATAGATCAAAACCATGAAAGTTATAAACGCACTACAATCCAAATTTAAAATATTTAAAAAATTTAATTTCTCTAGTCGACAGTCGGCTAAATAGTATCACTTTTCGCTTTAAACTTTTTGACGGTCACAAATTATTTCCAGTTTCATTTGAAATACCTTAATTAGGAAATTTAGCTTCATTAAATATTTTTGTACTGATATTTGAGCAATTAGTACTAATAGTTAAATGTTTTCACCAGGTCTGAAAGTGGTACGATGGTTGCAAAATTCCGTACCATCAGAGCATCGTACGCAAGATCGTGCGAAGAGTGATCCAAAACTAATGTTTCATGTTTTAAATGAAACTAAACGTTCAATTTCTTATCTTTGAAAAGCGCAGTAAACAAAAAATAAAGTCATCAGGGCCGTAGTAGCTCAGGGGATAGAACGTTCGCCTTCCAATAAGATGAACCAGGTTCGAATCCCAGACATAATGGGTCGATACCAATCCCGCACCCGGCTCTCACCGACCACACTGCTGGCATAAAAATATCCTGTGGTTGACGAATCATGAGTTAGACTTCCCTTGCCGCCAGCCAAACCGTGGGAGGTTTTCGTGGTTTTCCTCTCTACGTAATTCAAATGCGGGTTAGTTCCATCGAGAAATCCTCCGCGAAGGTAAAATCCCTCCCAATACTTGATCCGGGAGTTCCCTTGTCTTCTGGATCAAGTTCAAAATTTCAATGCAACGGAGGTGAACATAAATAGTCGTAAACGCTAAAATGGGCCGGCTTTTCAACAACGGTTATAAAATAAAATAAAATCATCACCGTGAATAACTTTTGTTTTAGTAATCTAATTTTCACAAAGTAAAATCTAATTTTAATGGTTTAAAGTGACCTTGAGTATGATAATTAGTTAGTGATGACTATTTCGAGAACAGACATCAAAACCGCTACTTTCTCTAAGTAAACTTATACTTTTTTTACGTATTTAGATTCTTGTGAGGGGGGAAATAAGGAGGTAGCAACAATCTGGTAAATATGGTGCCAATAATTTAGGCAGGTGAGTGTGCGGAAATTTGGTACCCTTAATTTTAATTTCCCTCCTTAATGTGTGTGTATATATATATACACATATATATATATACATA